TTAACAGTTCAGACTTTGTGAGGGTTCTTTGTTTGCCATGGACTGGACACACCACAGAGTAGAAGATAACTATACACAATGCTTTATTGTAGCACACACCTTCCCCAACAATACGCTGTTGCCCTGGGTTAACTCCCCCTCCTAGACTTTGCAAGTTGATCTAGCCGTGTAAATAAGTCTTTGATGCTTAGTCCTTACAACTGGTAAAAGTCTTAAAATTTGTAAAGTGCTATATAACCTTTGATTCTCTCCAAAGATTCTTGCACTTGTTGGGATTAGGTGTTGTCTCAGTGTGGTTGCTCCTATTCTGGTTGTTGCTGAGCTCCAGGCCAAGCTCCAAGCTCTGCACATAAGCAGTGTTGCTATTGAGGACCCAGGCTGAGCTCCCAAGCCAAACTCCAGGCAGGAATCACACCACAATGGGCTGCTTACTGTAGCTTGTGGTCCTGGCAGTTCTGAAAGCCTTCTCGCTTGCCTGTAATGGTTGTAAATGCCCAGACATCCCCTCCTACTTCGTCTGCTTGCTGTCTTCTCCTTATCACCCTTTCTCCTATATACCCCCACACACTCTGTGCCAGCTTTCCCTTTTGTAGGCTAAGGGCCTGGGTGGGCTGAAGTTACCCATGGACATTGGCATGTTTCTGAAAATGCCAGGGTGTGGCTCAGTTAGCCAGAAAGCTGGCACACCGGCATGGATGCCTACGGGTGTAGCATTTCTCTCAGCAAACTGTACGTGTGTGTGGGGGGGGGGAATGAAGGAGTACATTTCCTCTCTGGTTTCTAAGATTGCAAATTTTTACACCCCTTTGGGAAAAGGGGTGAGCTGAGCCTAGCCTCAGGGAAGTGGGGGTGGGAAGCATTTCTGCCTGGCTGCAGCTGCTTTTCCCAAGCACAGACAGCAACCCCAGCTTCGCTTCCTCACAGACCTGTATGTATCCTGCTGAATTATTGTAAGTATATATAGGAATAAGTTAATAATTTCCCTTTTCATACCTATTTATGTCTACCTAATATATACAAAGGATATATTTGCCACTGCTTATGATAGGAGAAAATTAAAACAATACATTTATTTCCAAATTGCCACTAGATAAAAATTAAATATCCAGGAAACGACTAACTAAGCTGCTATGCCCCAAAACTTCAAATTCTTTAATACTTTGATCCAATTCATACCTAAAAATACAGAGCAGAAAGGAGCCATTGACTCCATCAGGCCCAACCGTCTCTTCCTGTAAGAAAGTGTTTGACATTTGGCTCTGGTGCTTTTAATTGCCCAGTGAAATATCAAAAACTTTGCAGGAAATTTTTAGAAGCCATCTCAACTACTATGGTTCTAGATTATTTGACAGGAAACAAATTTAATAAATAAATAAAGCATATGGCAAATTATGCCCTGTGGGCATGCATTATATAAACAACCCTCAATTAAGCTGCTGTGTAACTGCACAATCATAGCATCCCCAGATCTTATTTTACTGACATGTGACTACACCTAATTATTTGGTTTCAAAGGGATACAACAGTAAGTCACGTTTTTAGCATTTCTAGTTCTCACTGCTTTTCTCTGAAGCTGTCCCACACCCAGGAAAATTATCTGCTAAAAATAAATCAGTTGTACAGGCTACATACTTTAGAGAATATCCCACTGATGTTACATTATTAAATTGAAAGGTGATAAAAACTCCATAGTATTCAAGCTGGGCTGCAGCAGTAGGATTGATGGAAAACAGGGCCAATCCAGTAGGCCCTACAGAAATACTAGCTCTATAAGGCTGTTCCTTCCCTAAGCGATAGCAAGGTGGTAACTGAACTTGCTTTTCGTTCCCATTCATTTTTTTCCCCCTTCTTGGACATTGTTGGGCTTTTGCTTAGTATGTTGTGTGAACCTAAATACTGTAAAGAGTATGACATGGCTTATAACTTTGGATGTTATGTTATGAAGCAATTATGATTTATTTATACAGTATCCCAATCAATCAAGACTGTTTATTCAATAACTTATGGAAAGAAAGCAAAGTGAATTGGTTGTGTATGCACACACACACAGACACAGCCAGGAGTAGCTTCTGAAACAACTATGAAAGTCTTGCTAATGACATGGCAGGTTTAATTATTTAATAATTATTCACATTCCCACATACTGCAAAGGAACAATTTTAAATGCTTCAAAGCTCTACTTTTCACATCCTCCTGTGTCAAATCTGTTTCTTAATCCCAGTTAATAATCTACCAAAACCTACTACATTAATGCTATTATGTGGACAGGTCCAGTTAGTAGACATGGGAACAAGTAGTCTAGCCCATGGTTGTCCTGTTGAGTTCCACTAGTAGTCTAGCCCATGGCTGCCCTTGTATATCATCTATATGAAACAGCTGAGAGACTGATTTGGTGTCAGGTACCACTGATATAGGGAGCCATGGAGATGATCTTGGAGAAACCATCCAAAAGCCATTAAGGCAACAACAGGTACAGAAGTATGCGTTAAGCCCAGCATTTTAGAAAGAGAATTGGACTGGCTCCCCCCATCCCCCAACTACCTTAGATATAAGAGAGAGGGAAGGGAAAACAGGCAGATCTGCAAGATTTCTATCAGCCCTATGAAGTAGACTAGGTCAGGAAACTGATTTCACAGTAAGACTGGAACTTATTATAGTAATAGAAACTTGAAGATTCCATTGGTCCCTACAATTGGTACACTGATATGACTGGATGGGACAAAACAGGCTGAAATTAAATCTCAGCATATAATCTCCATGACTGAGCTGTGCTCCATCCCTTATATGGTATTGCAAGCTAATTAACATTGCTGTTTTGTTTACTATTTGAAACTGACTGTCAGAAAGAAATTATCTACTAACCCAAGACTGCATGGTATCCTAAAAATAAATTTAAAAAAAGGCTTTACAACCACTTTATAACATGTTATATAGTAATTTTCTTTTGAGAAGGGAGGGAAAAGATTGATAAAAAGTTTTCCTTCAAATCGGTATTTATTATGATTGTTATCCAGCACAAAATGTTTTCCTTTAGTAAAGGGCCAAACATATGGTTTCCTTAGCTTCAGAACATGCCTATATAAGTATCAAAATTTCTTGTACATTTTCCCATTCAATGCATATTTTGAATAGACATAAGAATGACCAAATTTCTTCCGAGAACAAGATAGAAAAGACTTTTAAGCAATATGATCAACATTTTTGGAATTATTCTATTTTTCAGGCAGTTTTTTAAAGCTGTTATACTTATCAAATCTTACCCTTTAATATTAATGTATTTGCATTTTATTTTGTTGATTAGTTTGGTGTAATAAAATAAAATTTTATTATCAGCTCAGATTGACACTCTGTCCCCAGCCCGGTCATTCAGATCTTCTCATAATGCACCCATTGCTGCTGTAATCAAGTTCATCCACCATGCTGCTGGTCATCCTCTTCTACTATTTCCTTCCACCATTCCCACCACTACAGACTTCTCTATAAGTCCATATGATAATATGACCCCCGTCATTTGTGCCTCAAGTGAAAACTCCGATTAATATGTTCTATAATCCGTTAGTTTTGTTTTGTTTTTGATTTTTTGTCTTAATATCAATAGCATACAAGAACATGCACTAGATGCATGTATACATGCGAGAGCTCAACAAATCACCCCAAGCCAACATGGAAACCTGCAGTTTCAGATACTGCCTAAAGCTTCACATCGGTATAATACAAGTGCATGCAGACTGCACATATGCACATACAGACACCTTATCTCAACCAACAAATCCAACTGTCACAGAAATCTTTGCAGTTTTAAATACACTCTGAAAATCAGAATAAATAGGATATAAGAAGACAAAAAAGAAACCACAGAGTAGAAACACATCGAATCAGGATAGTTGTAATAGTGGACTTTGCATTTACAACTTATAACCTCAGTAGCATTAGAGGTTGATTATTCAATTGCAGCATTTCCGATCTTCTCAACAACAGAGATGAATCCACAATGCTTCTTCAGCTCAGACTAGCCATCTTTTTAAGTAATTGCTACTTTTCCTCAGAATTCTACTCATCATGCTATCATGCAGCCTAAATAAATAGTAGCAAAGTCATAACTGCTGAATTAAAAAAAAATTAACTCTATCACAAGACCTAAAAAAGTCCATTATGATGCTCTGAATCTCCTGGAATATATTAAGCAGTGACATTTGAAATGACCAAGTTTTTTATCTATTGATACTTATTTTACAACATTTTGAGGCTACTCCATTACCAATAGAGTGGTAAACACTAAAACAGAAACCATACGATTAAAACAAAATAAGAAATGCAATAGGATTCCTATGAAAACTATTTTTAAAAAATCATTGTACAAAACATACATTTTCATGCTTGTTTATAATACTTGAAACAGCCATCTCAAGCTGTTTTAAATTGGAAGTTTGTGAACACCCCTAATATATATTTATAAATAATCTGTCTTCTTCAAAACACATCTTTAATCATCTAAGGACCTCTTCTCCAACCTAGTTCCAGTAATTCTCTTTGGCCATGTGGGTTTGGAATTACTGCACTCATAGCACCAAGTTGTGCTTTAGCCTATGTGAACTACAAAGTCTCTAACTACAAATTAGCTACTTAAAAACTATTTCCATTGGCCATATTGTGACTGTGAAACTTTCTTGGAAATATTTGGCAATATTTTTAGAATGGCTATTTGGATTATTTTATTTGAATAAGGATATACTATTTTAAATTTGTTTTGCTTTTTTCATAGTACTTTATGAATACTTAAAGAGAGACTATACAGACATTTTTTATTCATTAATGGTTCTAACTTATACCTTTGAATGCTGTCTAAGGTGATATGGGGTAAACTTTGAAGATTTGATCAGAGCCAAAAGTATATCATAAATGAAGTATTTTGGTTAATGTCTAACACTGTCAGAAGTACAAAAGTATGTGCATTGGAAGAAAATTAAGACAAATATTTTTAGATGTTTGCTTAGACTCACCCATCATATTATATAAACTCTGTGGTGCAAACTGTCTTGGCATTTTCTGTATTGCCTCTTTGTAAACTAGAAGGGCATCCTATGACAAAGTGTTGAGAAACATACCATTACAACAGCATCAAATTCAGAAGCATGAACACAAAAATTTAATGTTATAAAATATTGTAAAATTGAAAATGCCTTTTTAATTAATCATAACTGGAGACTGGCATTTAATAAAATGAACAATGATGAGTCTCATGACACCTTCAAATTGATTTCTGTATAAATATATGCAAAAATAAATGTGTTGGTCTCTAAGGTAGTACCACACTCCGCAGTTTGTGCTGCAAGGGATTAACATGGATTAATTTCAATCTATGCAAAATAATTATACAGTGAGAGATGAATCTTCTCAATGTAAAACAGAATAACTTCCAATAGTCAAAATAGTCGCCACTTGAGGGTGGGAAAAGAAAATATCTTAGAATTTCCTAAAACACATTTTGATGTTATAAGACTGTAATAATCACAATGATACTTTTTTATCTACTTTTCCATTTTCATATATATTCGTTCAGAAAGGATCATTTGCTAATGAACAACTACTATTGTACCATATAATATTCATGATTCCCCAGTAAAGTAGTTTATAAAGTATAGCTACTACCATCCCAATAGTCTACCATCCTATCAGTCAACAGACTGAGTGTTAACCTAGAAAAAGACATAAATTGTTAGATTATAAATGTATAAGAAACAACTTGTCAGAAATCTTGCCTTCTTTTCTCTTATGAAATATACATAATAATACCCTATGAAGATTTGCCTTTAACACTATGAAATAATATTTAATAATAATAATAATTTATTTTTTATTTTTATCTATTTATTATTACATTTGTATGCCACCCAACTCCCAGCGACTCTGTGCAGTTAATAGCTACTTCTAGTAGTGGAGTGTGTGTGTGTGTGTGTGTGTGTGTGTATCTATATTACAGATGGTTGCTATTTTACTGTAAAATCTTACCTCATACTGTCCCTGTTCATGGTAAAGTTTCCCCAAATTATAAAGGCAGCTGGTAACAGAGCTCTTATGAGCATGAGGATCCTTTAAGTTTTCATCAGGAATCTCTGAACACTTCAAAAATGTCTTCTTGGCTTCCTCAGCCTTGCCTTGATTCATTAAAATTATGCCAGTATTTAAATAGGCAGCTGAAAAAAAATAAGGGGAAATGTAGCTATTACATATTCATATATGATCCCCTTATACTTGAAGTTATTTAAAGCCAGAAAAATTAGATAGTTACAGGATGACAGTGTCTTCAAATCTAGATTGGCCCTTCATTTTTTAACCTTGTTATGATTGAATTATCTTTCATCAAAGCCATAGATTATCCATTCTAATTCTACAGCAATCAAGACTTCCATTATAAGATAGTGCTACCTTTAATAACTACCATAGGAAATAGATTATTAATTAAACAAAGAAAAAGTGAATTTCATCACATCAACACATTAAAACTGGAATTTCATTAGAATTAATTGGAAAGTCAACCAAGGTGATTTTCTCTCTAATGTGGAATGCTTCTTTAGAACAATTTTGCCATAATCCAGTCATATAAGGTGGTAAAGTACCCCAATTCAAGACATTTGGGGGTCTAACATGATTCAGTAGAAACAATAACTACTCTCCAAGTGAACAAGGTAATCTTGTAGCTTTTTAAAGTAATTTTTATTAAAGATTATATAAAACAGATATAACTAATACAAAAATCAAATACAAAAATAGATTTAAAATATATATATAAGACACTGCAAAGAAAAAAAAACACCCCCCAAAAAAAGTAGTAAGAAGAAACTTTGTAAAGATTAACAGACATAACTAGAATCATAAGCATTTTGTCCCCCCTTCCATTTATACGTTAGCCCCTTAATCCCTCTATTAATAATCAAAATCTCATCCCAATTGACAATTAAACATTACAAATAAATAAAAAAATATAAACCACTAATCATTACCTGAAGTAGCAACCCATTATTAAACCCACTTAACAATTAAATATTAAAAAAAATTAAACCCAAAAAACTACTAAAAATTACCAGAAATAATAATCCCTTATTCATATACCAAAAATAGTAACATAGATATTACAAACTAGTCCATTACATTCAACTGGACATTCCAAAAGAGTTAACCAGTCAAAGTAACCATTAAGCATCACCAAAATAACAACCCATAACTTAACCATAATCAATTAACTAGTTTCATATTTTTTCTTCTTCCTTCCATCAATCATTGAATCCCACTGATAAAGTTCTAACATCTGTCTTCTTCTATTATTCTCTCTTCTCTCAAAATCCTTGTCATCTTTATCAAAGTCCATTTGTATTTTCAATGTAACCACTCCTATGAGTCTCTTATATTCCAATTTAAATGGGTAATCCACATCCCTCTTTTGGTATATTATTTGTATATCTTTTTTAATTTTCAAATGATCATTCAATTCCATTTATAAATCCAATATTTCTATCTCTTTCTTATAGGTTATAATTTTTAAATCCACTTTAAAATCCATTTCAGTTATTTTCCAAGGAACTTGATTCTCTTCAGTAGCAAATTTTGGTTTTAATATAGAGTTAAATATTCCTAGGATTTCTTGAGCCAATTGGCCATCTGGTGCTCTCTAGTGATTAACCTTCAAGGCTTTGTTATCAGGTCAAAATGTAAACATAAAATTCTTTCCCACACGAGAGGAT